AAATTCTATAAAGGACCCTAATGGTGTTCTGAACAATTGGGATGAAGACTCTGTAGACCCATGTAGTTAGGCTATGATAACACATAAAAAGATTTCGAAATAGATGGGAGATCCTCATCTTCAAGGATGCAATGGAGGGCTTTCAATGGAGTTACCAAATTTAGGCTCTTGGCGATGTCAATAGGCCTTCAATGGAGGTCAATGGTTCTTTATTGTCTCTTCAATGGGTCATTTTCATACATCAGGTATGTAGAAGAGGGCTTTCAACCAAATGGGTAAAGGTGTGTGGAAGGAGGGTTTAGGTAGTGTGTGTGTAAGTATACGAGTTAGGGTATAATTGGAACATAAAGTGTGTAGAATGAGAAGAATAATCAATAACCAAATTAATAAGTGTATGCACTGAAGAAATGATATACGCTGAGATAAGTAGGTGTGTGGAAATAGAATTTTCTAAAAATATTGTCAATAAGCTTGTCATGTACACCACCTAAAATGACTCAAATTTGTTCTTAAAAAAAAGAAAAAAGAAAAAAAAAAGACTAAAATTGAAATTTTCAATTATAATACAATTAGTCACAATCGTGTCATTTTCTAAAGTAAGTACTTTGTCAATGGCAGCATAATGCAATTCTGAAAACCAATTTTAGTAACTTTAAGGCTGTATTTGGAAGGATTTGGATAAAGATTTGAAAAGAGAGAAAAAAAAAAGAAAAAAAAAAGGTGAAATGTAATTATATTTCACTCACATTTTACCTACTTTTTCTTTTTCCTTTTTCAAATTACTACAAAAATTCATGATCTAAATATAACTTAAAGAAATTATGAACTCCTTATCGATATCCAAAAACTCGCTATTTTGATAGGCAGTTGAAAGTTGAAATTTCTCATATTTTATATCTAAACTAGCCTACTAAAATAACAACTTCCCAAATACTCACAAAGTGAACATCAATGAGCAATGAGGAATACTACCAAAATTAATTATCCCAAATAAATAAAATTTCATGCCAAAATTAAGATATTTGATCCCAAAACCAAATATTAGGATAAAATTGTGAGATTTTATCCCAAATTTCTAAATTTTATAATACTAAAAAATTTCTCACATCTTGAGACATGTTTGGCCTAAAATGAGAAATTTGAACCCAAAACCGTGAAAATAAATAGCACAATCAACTGCTTGTTCAAATCATATAATGACTTTTTCAATTTCAAAATTTTGTCTTCTTGTCCCTTCAACATATACCTCTTCTGCAAAAAAGCTGTTCAAATAAACGGATTTCACACCCTCTTATTCAGCAAATTTCCTTCTACAACACAACAAAAAAAAATAAAAATAAAAATAAATGAAGAAGAAGAAGAAGTGAGTATTTCCTTGTGATTCTTTCCATGGAAGCTCTCCATGTGTTAATATTCAGCAATTTCCAATCCCCGGGATGCAATTCTTCATTGGAAGACTCTTCAGTGGTAGTTTTGGATACGGTACCACCACCTAGTGATCGATAGTCGGAGGGGCATTGAGTTACTTCCGTGCAGCTGAAAAAATGGCAGTTTCGCAGTCCACTGTGGTGCGACTCATGAGCTCAACAAGTTTCAAATGTTAGCTTCAAAGTTCTCTACACTTTTCAGCTCACCTTGTCACGTTGAAGAAACAATGAAGTTGGATGAGATCGACTTTGCTGGGCTATGTCACAGAAAGTTCCTGCCACTACCATATAGTATTCATCTCGACCTGGTGATAAATAAAGCATCTGTACCCTTTTTGATTTCTCAGAAATTTCAAAAAATAGGTTTTCTAGAAAGCCCCAATGACCAACCTTTGCACGAATTGATAAGTATCCAATGCCATAATTGATGCATTTTCTGTTCATTTTCCTTGTTTGGTTTGCCATGTTGCCATGTCTGATCTGCAAAACAATAACAGGCACACACATAACACAACCATTGCATGAAGTAAATTGATTGCTGGAATTACAACTAAAATTACTGTACAAAAGCTACAATTTAACCATCTCCTACTTCTGATGAATTAATTCCTGAGCATGGATAGAGAATGGCAAATAAATTAGAACATAACTTGCTCCACAAAAATCCATTGAAAAATAAAATGTGTTCTTAATATTCAGGAGAGAGAAAGATCCTTGAACTCAAAGAGATAAATGCAACCCATATCATTCACAGACCAATAGATAAACAATAACGAGAATCAAGTGGCGAGTAAAGGAAATACAAAAAGTTAGCGGTGTCAGAAGAGGTATAAGCATGCAAGAGATGGCACAAACTGAAAGTTACATGGGTTTCAGTTTCTGCACGCATCTTGTTTGGCACATAAGAAGACGTACAGATTGTTTTGCCAGAAATTTCCAACTTTATTCGGGAGAGGAAATTAACTCTTGATAGAAGAGCTTGAAGATGTAAATGTTAACAAAATATAATATTCAATGTTCAGCGTTTCATCCAAACTTCCAACTATAAATTCATGGGGTAATTTCTAAATGATAATAACTATATAAAACGATTAATAAATGAAAAACCCTCAGGTTATTTCTAACAAAAATAGCACAGATTAAAGAGCAATATTCACAGTTTCATCTTCTCCCAACTGTCACTGTTCTCAGAACACTCAGAAAAAAAATCAAAAAAGATAAAAGATGATTAAAAGAGAAGACAAATGTAATAATATATAGAACCATTGGCAACATGATGCATTGATCTAAAAACATGAATAAAAAAATTAATCAACAGATAAATAATAAATAAAATAGCACGTCAGATTCTTATCCCACATGTAAGCAACTATCATGGCTTAAGGAAATGATCTCAGTGCACACTTGGATAAATAGGTCATCTAAGAAGAACAGATATGGACATGGGTGCAGGCCTGAACACGGATACGGTAAGAGAGACAGATTTTGAAAAAAATTATGATACAGGCATGGGACACAGATTTTGAAAAAATTAGGATACAGACAAGCTGAGACTTTTTTACATATTTTTATTAGCTATGAATATGAATATAAATTTAGGGCGCAAAAATATAAGAGACGCCAATGTGTATGTGGGTGTATTTTTATTTTTTTGCCTACTCTACTCTCTCTGCTTTTTGTTTCATAAATTTTATTTTGATCCCAAATTAGCTTTCTAAAATTATGAAAATAAAATAAAACCTATAAAGGTGTCCTGAGGTTCATCCAAACACAAGGCACGTGTGTCTGTAAAGTGTCTTCAATGTTTCGGCGAAAGAAATTTATAAACTGACACACGGACGTGTGTTGTTAGTGTCCAATACATGCCAAACATGGACATGACACCCATTTTGAAATGTCCATGCTTTCTAGTAGGTCATCATATAGAAACTTCTAGATCAGTGCAATTCAAGTTAATTATGCACGTGTAAAAGATACAAAACAGATTATGATGTGTCAATGTTGTATTTCCATTTCTAAGATTTAGTTAACAAAGATCTTCAGAATGATATATAAAATGTACACTTGCATAGAATTCTAATAATGTCATGAAGCCCCTTATGCCTCTGCTTATTCATATGTTGTGAAAGGCATTGTAAGCTCCTCAATCCCATGGTCAAATATATTCCTTAGTTATCAAATGTACACCTGTTAATACCAACTAATGGACAAAGTATTTCAAATGGATGGAACACCATTATGCCTATTTTGATAAAGTATTTTAGAAACATCATTATGTGTACAACTTTTAAATGTGTCAACTATTATAACTTTTTTTGGGGGTGCAATCCGATATAATTACTACTTCCGATGCAACATTCCAGCTCAAGAGAACTTCTTTCACCTAAAAAAACCAAGGGTTACATCAGAGCTTCAATCCCATTTCACCTAGAATAACCAAGGGTCACATCAGAGCTTCCCAAGATCTGGACTACGTAACAACCTGCAATGCTTACAAGTTACATGACATATTTGTGATTCCCATCATGGTAATCAGTCCATTGTCATCAAGTTTTTTAAGTTGGTGATTCCCTAACAAATTACAAAGTCCCAACCGTTCATCCCAAGATGTTAGCTATACTTCCATATGGTTCATTAACAAGATAAGAAGAAATTTTATGTAAACCAGTTTCTTTTTTCTTAAATTTTTTTTTTATTATTAAAATGCATTTTCTTCTCAATCTCAACATCAGAGTGTGTATTTATTTGGAATATTAAAGATATGGTATTTTTTTTTAGCATACAGGTATTTGGTAAATATTTTGGAATAAGTGCAAAATGAAGCACTACGGATGGCATGAGAATTTTTTAATGAATGTAGCCAAGTTCAAATAAGCAGTCAATTAAATTTCCAATAAGATATGAATTATGTTTCCATCCTTTAATAGAAGTGGAGGGAAAAAAAAAATCATTGTAATGTAGCAGGAACATATTTTGCTACCGAGTCAAAGCATTTAATGTAGTCGTAGTGTCAAATTAGGTAAGGGCATGGTATGTGTCTGGCATGCATAATTGGAGACAGTAATGGTACAGAGCCCGAATATAGGAGCTCGAATTTGACTCGAAATTAGGGGGAAGAAGAAGGAGAAGGAGGAGGAGGAGAACTGGACTGGAGGGGCCAACAAAATCGGGCGGAGGTGGAGGTGGAGGTGGAGGTGGAGGTGGAGGCGGAGGCGGCAGCGGGCGGAGGCAGAGGTGGAGGCGAGGCTGCGATGCCGACGAGCAACGAGCTACGAGATCGGCCGACGAGTTGGGACGCCGACGAGCTGCGACGACGTCTCTCTCGCCTCTGTGTTCTCTCTCTCGCCTCTGTTCAACTCAATGAAGAAGAAGAAAGAAAAGGAAGAAAAGGAAGAAGAAAAAAAAAAAATCAAAACCCAAAACGACGTCGTTTTGGGTTTTGAGCCAATTCGAGCCCCTAATTTCGGGCCCTCAAACATTATTCAATTGGAGATGCACTCAACAAATATGTATAAATAAAGGATTTTACCAAATAAATATGTAGAGACATCAAATACTAAATATTTAAAGGCATACAAAAAGTAAATGACAACTGGATACATTAAAAAATTTATCTTTAATCCTTCCTTAGGGGCAGCAAAAATGTTCAAATAATTATAAACAATAGAAATAGGATGCACATGTGGACCACAAATCACTCACTGGTTCATCCAGCAAATGGGTTACGAATAATGAGATTGATAAAGACGGATCTCATCGAGGAGGAGAGATCTAGCCCTGTTGATTGCAGCAAAGCATAGGCAAATGTGTTCCTCAAGATCCTTAAGCTGGCTAAGAAAATTACGATGGTTCTTTTGAAGTTGCTTTGCAACCACATGGATGGGATGTCTGTCTCTGCCTCTCGCCAATCCGAGATGAATAAGAAGCTTATCATCCTCAACGCCAGCATATAAACGTTTAACCAGGCGATCAATCGTGTTGAGGTCATTGTGAAGAACATAAGTACCCCTGGCTGCAGCATCAAGCTGTGCCACATGGGCAAGCTCCTTCTTAGAGATCTTGGAAGGAAGGAACGCAGGGAGTAGTGGGCCTGCAACAATGGCAACAACAGCATGAGAAGCTATGGCCACCACAGATATGGCAACACCAACAACAGAACCAATCAAACAAATGGCAGAGCAAGTGGTAGCACTTTGGAGGAGGCGGACCCTAGAGCGGGACTTGCGGAGCCGGCGGTGGAGTTGTTGTTTGAGCTGGGAGAAGCAGCGGCGCATGTCTTGGAAGTTGCGGGACTCAGGGTCGGGGAAGGGATTGTTGAGGTGGTCAAATTGAAGGAAGACATCAAAGGCTGTGTCACACTGAGATTGGGAGAGAGAGTTGGAATCAGTGTCTAGGGGGAGGACATCAAGGAGTTTATGAAGATCACAGTAGAGAGAGTGGGCATTGTGGACACTATCACGGAGGATGAGGCACAGATGGGATGTGTTCTCGCTGTGGTCAAAATAGGCAGATACAAGGTGAGTAAGCGTGTTGGGCCGGGCATGCTTAAGTGCCTCTTGGACCCACTCTCGGCTAGGGTTAAGGATCTGTGCCAAAAGCTGCTCTGCACAATGGGCATCCGTGTGCCCTGAGTCTGGATTTTCATAAGGGTCACTAGGATGAATTATGGACCATATTTCACTGAATGACTTGGACTGGGTGGCAAGGGTGTATTCATCAATGAGATTGACTGTAGGAGAGCGTTGAGCACTTGACCTCGGCGTACCCTCGGCTGAATTCCCTGCTTTTCATTTACACAATTAGACAAACACATTAAGGCTCCTTTTGGATGAGTAGATTTCAAATGAATGGATTTGAGGTTGAATTTTACAAAATTATAAGAAGATTAGCTATAAAAGATAGGCTGATAACTCTAAAACGGAGGATGGAATAGAGGTATGAGACATGTATTTTTTAAGATCTTTGTATAAGTAGAATCTTTATGGAAGGTATAAGTAGAATCTTTATGGAAGGATTTCAAATAACAATCACCAAGTTATTTGAAATCCATCATTATAAAGCTCTTAAATCCATTCTTAACATCCATATATAAAAATATTACATATACTAAAATTATTGATGCCAAATCCATTCATTTCAAATCCTAAATCCAAAAGCTTAGAAGACTTTTACCTTTTGTGTGTAAATGAATTGAGGAGACCAAATTAGAATTTACCTTGCTGCGGTGGTGGGAGTGATGAAATGAGATTTGGTCTTCTTGTTGACAATGATGGCATGCAACAATGCAGCATTTGATCATGCCTCTGAAATTGGGAGGCGGGTGACTAAAAATCAATGGACCATGTGTTTGGGCATTGGCATCCAAGCATCCAATGAACTTCTCATAGCATAGAAGATGGTTTGAAAGCACATGGTTTGCTTTAATAATTCATCTGTTGAGCATGAAAGAACGACTGAATGGAAGAGAGTGCAGTAACAGAACAAAAGTTTTGCATATCGAGAAAAATAACAGGTAGTATTGCAGGAGGAGATTTCACCTCAACAATGTATGAGGACTGAAAATTAAGAAAAATGAAGCTTCACAATGACTGAAAATACTAGTGGGTTTTGGAACACTTCACAATTATCCTCCTAACATTACTTTGCTGCAGTCTGCAGATTAGCAGCAGTGACATATCTGACTGCAACAAAAGAAGCACACAAAGTTTCTGATAGTATCTATACTGTTCTATACTATTATATAAAGCAAACGCTGAAGTTAGTGTTGATGTTACAGCTTTTTATTTCTGAAAATTCCCTTCTCTAACTGCCACTGCAACTGCTAAATTCAACTATACGTAGTAATTGCTATTAACTGTTTCAGTTCTCTCCAATTGCTTCAAATGATTGCCATAATTATCAAACCCAATTACAAATTTCACACACATAGTGTGTGCCCACCTCTAGTTGTTCTTATTAGCTATACTAATATATAAAGCAAACAGTTTTCATGGTGTGGATGTCACAATTTTTTAGTTTACTCAAAATACCCTCATGTAACTGACTTCCGTAAATGACCTGCCTCATGTAACTGATCAAATTCACATTCAGATTCAAATCAAAATTTAACAGCACGCCCATCAGGTGGGCACACCCGTTGAAGTTGGTATGAATGAACACAAAATGTCACAGATTTTCACTTTTCCAAAATGCCCGTTTGTAATTCAATCACACCCATAAATCTGCAACCGTCTATTTCAAGCACACCCATCAAATGTGCACACACACCTTCTAGTATTATTAAGACCTCACTCACGCTTCCAATTTTTTTTGCCCCTCCTGCATAAATTTTCTGGCTCCACCAATGGCCAAGGAAACCCAGTGTTAAAGCTGGTCTATTTTCCAGTCTCACTCAGATCTTTTCACACACATGTGTGCGACAAAAACAAACAAAGGGCTAAAAGAACCACAACCCACAACCCACATGCTTGAACAAGTAAACACTGGGCGAAGAACCAATACAAATGAGCAATTGCAGAGAAATTGAAACAAAACCCAGAAACAAAGACCATTAATTTCCAAGTATTCATGCATATATATATGTACCTGCACAATCGACGAGTGAGCGATGGATTGCTGAGGTTTAATGGTGAGGCATTGACGCAAATGGGTTGAATTTTTTTATTTTTTTTGGTGGGTACGATCATAGTAGCCTCTGAAGAGCATGCGATCCAAGACTTGGGTTTTGACTTGTCTCTCTGTATATGAGTGTTCATGGGATCTTTTAGATTGTTCACTGTTAATCTGGACCGTTCAATCATTTTCAAAAAAGCGTTGGGGAAGAAAATTTCCTTTCGTGTGTCCAAATTGTTTAATATTTTGTTTTAAATGGTCAACCCTATTATATTGTTTGATTGAAACTTCTCAAGATCATTTCCAACTGTTTATCAAATCCAGCATCAAATTTAAAATTTGATGGAAAAATTATTGTTTGATGTTCCAACGGTTGCACCAAAACGATATCAAAATAAAATTTCACCAAACATTTCACCAAATTGAGAATAGGCGAAGCATTTCACCAAATCACTGTTATTGACCGTTGGGGTGATACCAACCGGTCGACCAGCCGGTTGACCAACCGGTCAACCAGTAAAAGATTCAAACAGTCCAAAAAAAAGTTCAAACAGTTCAAAAAAAAAATTCCTAACCGTTCAACCGGCCGGTCGACCACCCGGTAGTCCCGAAAAAAGTTCAGAAAGTTCAACAAAAAACGGTTCAGACAATTAAAAAAAAAAAATTTCATGGTTGACCGGCCGGTCGACCACCCGATTGTCCCGGGACAAATTTGGTGAAAGGTGAACCGTTAGAACATGTGGTACCAGATTTGGTGAAATGAGTCATTTTTTACTCAAATTTAATGAAAAATCTGATTCACCGTTGGAGATGCTCTTACTCCTTTAAACTTTTAAATTCTCACAATTGTGTTACTTTAATTCTTCAAACTAATAATTTTAATAATTAAAGTCATAAATTCAATTTCAAATTTTTTAAGATTAAAATAATAATAATATTTCAAAAGACCACATTAAAATTATATATTTGTCTATGTCTATGCGTCATCATTTATTATTTGTCTACGTATTTGTTTACTTAATTTATTTATACGCATAGACCGGGCAAACACCTGATTATTAAAAATAAAAAATAAAATAAAGGCACAATACAAATAATATTTTGTAGAAGGTACACTTAGCTACTGGTTAGTTTACAACTTCATTTACCTGCAGCATTCAACTTCAATAATTTCTACCAACCTGTGAGTTCAAGAGATAGTATTGAATTAGAAAAACACTGTAATATTCAGTATGTTTGGTTTCAATTTTCTAAATTTAGTTTTTTGAAAATTAAATTTTTTTTTGTGTTTTTTTATTATTTTTAGTGAATATTTTTTAGGATAAATTATGTAAATAGTCCCTCTAGTTTACACGATGTGTCAATTTGATCCATGTAGTTTTAATTTGCTCGATTTTGTCCCTTAATTTAACGGATTGTATCATTTTAGTTCAATAAATAACGGTTGTTAAGTTAATTTAACGGAATGTCAAATAATGTGTACTTTACACGATGTGTCAATTTTGTCCCTGTAGTTTCAATTTTCTCGATTTTGACAAAGACTAAATTGACACATTGTGAAAAATACATGGACCAAATTGATACATTGTTTGACTTTCCGTTAAATTAACTTAACAACCGTTATTTATTGGACTAAAATGACACAATTCGTTAAATTAAGAGCAAAATTAAGCAAATTAAAACTACATAGACCAAATTGACATATCGTATAAAGTACAGGGACTATTTGCATAATTTTTCCTATTTTTTAAATTTTAAGCAATTTTTTAAAAATTTTTTAGATACACTTTACCTAGATGTATTTAAATAGTAAAATATATGTGAAAAAATATTTTAAAAAATTAATGAACACATAAAAATACGAAAAATGTATTGAATTTTTTATTTTATTTATATTTTTTGGTATTTAGTGTATTTTAAAAAAAAAATTTAAAATATTATATTTTTAAGTATATTTATGTTAAATGTATCTAAAAATTAAAATAAATTATTTAAAATATTAAAAAAATTCATTGAAAATATTAAAATATGAAAAATAAAAAATAGAAGATCATAAACCACATTTATTTTTTTATTATTATTATTTTGTTGCTCTTCCAAACAGCATTTTCCTGAAACAGTTCACTTAGGGCATGTTTGATTGGATGGATTAGAGTATGGGATTGAGATTATTAATCCGTGGGCCCAATTATTCTATGTTTGTTTTAACATTTTGATTTAGGATTATTAATCCAATAGATAATTAATCCAACAATTTGTAAGATTATTAGTAATGAGGTAGGGGTAGGATTATTAATCCAATGGATAATTTATCCTATCAATCCTATATTTTTTAAGTATATTTATGTTAAATGTATCTAAAAATTAAAATAAATTATTTAAAATATTAAAAAAATTCATTGAAAATATTAAAATATGAAAAATAAAAAATAGAAGATCATAAACCACATTTATTTTATTATTATTATTATTTTGTTGCTCTTCCAAACAGCATTTTCCTGAAACAGTTCACTTAATGCATAAGGAAACAAATATACGTGATTAGTCAACCTCACTATGACTATCTAAGTAAGACATTGCAACAGCAGCATGAAAAGCTGACCCGATTTGAAGAGCCTCCTCATCAATAAAAAAGTGAGGCGAGTGCAATGGGTGATCTGATTTCAGAGTCTCGTTCTTTGTCCCGACAGCGTACATCACAGCCGGCATCTTCTGTGAATAGAAGCTGAAATCTTCAGCTCCCATAGTCACTGGAAGTATCTGCACATTCTGCTTCCCAAGCAGGACCTCTCCAACCCCCTTTGCGTGTTCATACAACACTTCATCATTAACGAGTACTGGATAGGGTAGGGGTGTCTCCTCCATGAAATCCACCGTGGCATTACACCGATGCATGGTTGCCTGAATCTCGATGATCTGCAGGCAAAACATGTCCATTCTGCTTTATGATTTGAATGGCCAAGATAGGGGGGAAAAAAGAAAAAGAGGAGGCAACCTACATGAGGCTGCTAAAGTAGGGCCTGAGTAGGGCAAAGTTGTATGCAACCTTAACTACATTTCTGGAAAGATTGTTTTTGTGACTTGAACCTATGCCACTAGGACATTAATGACAAGCTATGAAACATGGATACTTCTAATAGGAAGTCGTATCCGTATCAAATATCAATACTCCTCAAATACTTGCAGATACATATATGTTACTTTCTAAATGTATACGATACTTGATGTTAGTTTTGGAAAGTATCGGATACTTTTCGGGCACTCTAGGTCATGTATACTATTATGAAATTGTAATAATTTTTGCATAGTATTATGCAGTAGTGGCCCAAGGATCTGTGAGGCCTTGAGCTAAACATTAAACTGAAATCTTAACGAAATCTTAACATACCAGGACTGAAAAAATTGGGGCCTTCAACAATAAGAATGTTTTTAAAAAAATTTGGGGCCTTGAGTGATGGGTTAAGTGGCCTCATGGTTGAGCCAACTTTGGTATTATGGTATAATTATCAGAATAAATACAAGAATAGTTTTGTTCAATATTTTCTTATTTCTTAGCAAAGTAGAAATAGTAAGATTAAAGTGGTACGCCACTTTTTCAGATTTTATCAAATTCACATGTCCACTAAAAAAATACAAATAAATTGATTATTGGCTCTTAAACGAATATCTAATTACTAAATGATGGTTTCTCACAAATCTTTGAGCTAATGTATAAAATAAAATTAAAGCATAATATTTTCAACGTATTCTGATAGATTTTGTCATATTGCTATATCCGTATCCATACTTCATAGACGACAAGCCTTATTGTTGGGCCAAATTGACTTTCTACTATAGGAATATAAAAATGAAGAACAAATATTTTACCTCTTTGATTCTTCCCTTGGTGTGGGAGAGACCTTGAGGGCTCAAGCTTCTATAAGTTCCCCCAAACTTAACAATCTCTGGAATCGCATTTCCTGCTTGACCTCCCTCTATGAACCCAACTGTTACCACCTACATGATTTGAAATGGATGAATATATAGTACCTTTCATACTACGGTCTATTATTGCTAGTTTCTAGGTTTACGAGTTCATTCATGCATGTATTATATGAAAACAACTAGTTTCGTTCAAGCCTTTGGCTTGGGTGTCGCTTCTTTGAAGCTGTGTTGACCCCCCCAAGGTTGTGTATTGAGCATCACTGTAATATTTATATTTTTTTTTTGTATAAAACTAACAGCTTACCTACCAAAAAAAAAGAGTGCGTTCTTAAAAAGATTTCACATGAAGGAAAGAGAGAATTTACTCCGGCCTCAAGAGGATCCGTCTCCCGTGACACTATCTGTTGGAGAGCAATGATAGCCAATGATGCTACAAGAATTGGGTCTTTAGTTGTATGGGGCATTGCCGCATGCCCGCCCTTCCCTTGAATTGTGGCCGTAAACAGTCCAGCACCGGCGAGCACTGGACCAGGCCTCGAAGCAATTGCGCCAGTGGAGAATGATGGATAAACATGTAAACCAAATATGGCTTCTACATTATCGAGAACAGTATCTTGCAACATATGATAAGCACCAGCATAACCCTCTTCTCCTGGCTGGAAAACTAGCTTCACTGTTCCCTGTAATGTACAAGTTGGTAAAATACAATTTAGTAACCCAATAAATATGGAAGAAATAATAAATTTATTGTTTTCATTATTGGTGAATAGTACTATTATTTTGAAGTTACCTTCAATTTGTCCTTCCTTGCTTGGAGCAACTTTGCTGCTCCAAGCAGCATTGCTACGTGAGAGTCATGACCACAGGCATGCATCTTGCCATCAATTTTGCTTCGGTACTCCCAATCAACTAGTTCCTTCCAAATGGATGGTGATGATGGTTTCATGGGACATCAAATTAAAAAAATTTAGAAACTTCTAGAGGGAAGCACATTTTCTGTAAAGCAGAAAACATTAGTGGCTTCAAATCAATTGCGAAACAGTCGAAAAAGGATCTGTCATATGCCCTTCACCCCTTCTATGGATATAGAATAGTGCTGGTCCCAACCAGTGATTGTAAAGTGCCAGGATCGTTAAGCACTCAAATTGACCAAACCACAAATTATGGTCACAAGTGTTTTAAATTTCTAAATACAGATATAATGGAATAGAAGTGGCATAGTATCTTCTTAAAACCAAATAAGTGGATTGGTTGGTTTTCAATTTACCCTTCTTTGTATCCAATAAGCTATCAAAAGATACCTAATGTCAAAGATTTTGTGGTCACCTCTTGATTTTGGTAAACTTATTACAATAATGCTAGTTACACCAAAACACACACACACATACATGCTTGCGTGCCTACACACTAGTCACACACATACTCATGGGCATGGGTAGTATGAATGTAAATGTGTGTTTGTGGGTGGGTGGTTTGTGTAAATATCATTATTGAACTTGTTATGTTGACGTTCTGGAAATTATATTGCCCTTCCTAAGATTTTTATAGTTGGTTTACAAATTACCCCTTCAATCTGTCAGCTGTCAGGATAACTAACTGATTGCGTTGATGTAAACAATTAAAATTTAAAAGATACAAATTTCAACCCTATGTCACCACTGCCCTCTGGCTCTTCATTTTATTCTCCATCACAACTCGGTGAACCAAATGAGAGCACATCAACTCGGGCAACAAGTGCATAACCAAACCACCATCCATTAAACCCATTGCCACTTTGAAGCCATAGCTGAACCACCATTGATGAGACCACCGGGACAGCCACCATGCCCTCTCACGAATGTCACCACATCACCCCTCATACCACCCCCTACAACCCCTTCCTCCACCATCACTACCCTCACTTCCTCTTCCTCCCTCTCTTGTATAGAACCTACAACACCTACCCTCTTCCATCAGCGGCATAAGGCAACAAAGGGCCACCAAACAGAACAACCCCTCTTAATCTCTCTCTTTCCACCTCCCTCCCTCATCAACTGCAACATCACCACTCTCCCATCCAATCTCCCTGTCCTGCGATCTCACTCTCTTTCATTTACAAAAGTCAATCTCCAATTCCACCCATTTGAACCCTCTCTCTCCCTCTCCATCTCCCTCTCACACACACAACCCACCACCTCTTCCTCCAACTCTCCAATATAGAACCATTAACACCTCTGACACCCGCTGGCAGCATAAGGCACCAGAAGGCCACCAAACATAAGGGAGTAAGGCATCAAACAATTGTTACATAAGAGTCATAAACAAGGGGGGGGGGGGGGGGGGAGGGGAAGAGAAATGATATGAAGGAAAATCAATAAATCTATATTTGCTGTTTCTTAATAATTATTTCATACAGTTTTTGAGCTATATAATTAGAATCCATCCTAGTTTATTTATGATGGGGAAGGGAAAAGTTGACAAGAGCTATAAGCAACGCAGCTTAGTCCAACACCAACTCCAAAGTTCACCAACTCTTTTAAGGCATTTTATTAGTTGATGTAATATATATAAATAACAAAATCTACTCTTTGTGATTTTTAAAATAGAAAAACACGAATGATATTTACATATTGTACAAAATCAAAGTAATAAAATCAATGTTATTACGCAAAGTGTGAAATAGTTGATGGTCAGCTCATGTACACGGTAGAAGTATTCAAGAAATAGAGGGTCAAAAGATTTTTTTTTTTTTTTTTTTTTTAAGATTTTTTTTTTTTTTTTCTTTTTCAAAAACATAGGAAATAAAATAGAATTATAGAAGGCTATAAAATATGGGGAACTTACCAATAAGTCCCCATATATAAAGTTCAAGACCCATCTCATCCTCAAACAAAACACTTGCACTAATTAGTCCTATATATTTTTAGTTGTTACCAAAAAATCCTATTTTTTTTTTTTTTAATTTACAGACACTGTTACATCCTACTACCGTCGGATTTCCGTCAAATGGTCACCGGAGACTCGTCGGAATGTTCAACATCACCGGGAAGTCCGGAGTATCGTCGGAAGTTCACCGGAGTGTTAAGAATGTTAATGGAAGTTGCCGGAACGTTCAGAACTTCACTGGACGTTAAGAACATCATTGGAGACTTACCAGAATGTCTAGAATATTGCCCGAAAAAAAAGAAGAATAAATGGAGAAATTAGAAGGAAAAAACATAGCAAAATGTGCTAAATATTGATAAACAAAAAGGAAAAAAAAATGAAATGACAAAAACCAGCAACAATGGGAAAAACATATGTTATTTTTCAATTTTTGTAAGGTTTAAGCAAATAATCTCCAATATTGATCAAACTGAAAAGTAAGTTTTGAAACTGTAAAATGTTGCAGTTTCAAAGCAAAAATCTATTAAGCATTTATCTTTTTTGATCAAACTGAAAAACATGTTATGAAACTATAACATTTTACAGTTCTAAAGAATGTTATGAAGCTACAAAATTTTATAGTTTTATACCATGATTCATTCCAGCATCAAAAAAAATTGAAACTGCAAAATTTTACAGTTTTAAACCATGATTCATTTCAGCACAAAAAAAAATTGAAACTGCAAAATTTTACAATTTTCACTGTCTGTAACTAAAACTCGAAAACAACTTGTTCAGAACTTGAACATTTTCTCCATTAGAACAGAAAAAGAGAAGTGTATAGCAAAGAAAATGTCGAAAAAAAAAAAGAGATCGAAGGAGAAAGACGGATATAGAGAGAGGATTGTACTCCGGCAACTATTTTTTGTTTAGATCTAGCCAAATCTGATGTAGATCTACTCAGATCTGATGTAGATCTACTCATCTTCTTTGTCGAAAACATATCTTCTTAATCATCGGTGAGGGTGAAGTAAGGAGTCGACGGTCGGTGGTTGCCGGTGAATCCCAATCGATGGTAGTCGTCGGTCGCCAGTGACTATATATCAGAAAGAGAAAGAGAAGAAACAAGATATAATTACCCGTTAATAATCGCCGGAAATCACAAAGAGCAAAAGAGGCAGAGAAGGAGAATAACGTTATAGGGCTTTTGGGTATAAACAAAAGTTATGGGACTAAATAGACTACACATTTTTCAAAAAAGACTTCTTGGTAATTTTTCCAAAAAATATTTTTGAAAAACTTAAGGGCTCCCTTGGCCCATACATAAATAAAGTTTGACTGTGGGTATGTCATTGCCATTTCCATTAGTAAAATCCATAACACTAAATACCCAATTGGAAGCCTTTGCAAATGGCACAAGTTAACACTAGAATGTGCACACCATTTTTTTTATTATTAGTCCATTAAATGAGACATTATCCCTCACTATTTTTTTTCCACTGTCAACCATAAAAACTACTTTAAAAAAATGTAATTAGTTACTGGAATTTACTTCATGCAAGTGAAACTATCTGTTGACTAAGAAAATACATAGTGATGATTTTGTCATTTAAGAGCATCTCCAACGGTTCACCTAATTTTTTCTCAAATCTGAGTAAAAAAATGACCATTTTCTCAATTTGATACAGAATGCTCCAATGGTTGATTTTCATCAAATCTGCTCCAGGGACAACCGGTTGGTCGACCGGTAAGGCAAAAAATTTTATTTTTTATTTTTTATTTTAATTGTTTGACCCTACCTATTTGAACTGTTTGAACCTTTTAGTGGTCAACCGGCTAGTCGACCGGTAAGGCAAAAAAAAAAATATATATATATATTTTGAATTGTTTGAACCTACCCATTTGAACTATTTGAACCTTTTAGTGGTCGACCGGTTGGTCAACCGGCCGGGCAACCGGCTGGTTGACCGGTTCCTCTCCTCCAACGATCACAAACAGTAATTTGCTGAAATCTGTATCCTGTTCTCAGTTTGATGATTTTTTTGTTCAATTCTCAATTTGATACCAATTTGGTGAAGCCGTTGGAGCTTCAAAAAGTGCCTTTTTCACCAAATTTCAAATTTGATGCCAGGTTTGGTGAACCGTTGGAGATGGTCTAAGACCAATCAACACGGCAACAAATATACGTATTCTTACAAGGAGCTTCTATTTTCACACATCTTCACATACTATTTTTAATTTGGATATCTAACTTTTGAATATAATTATATGGTTCAAAAATCAATTAACCGATAAAAGATGGGGGAACTTACCAATAAGTCCCATATACAAAGTTTAAAACCCATCTAATCCCTAAACAAAACACTTACACTATTTAGTCTTATATATTTTTAATTGTTATCAAAAAATCCTATTTTTATTTTTTTAATTTATAGATGCTGTTACATCTCACTACCGTCGGACTTCCGTCAGACGATTATCAGAGACTCGCCGGAATGTTCAACATCATTAGGAAGTCGTCGGAGTATCACCGGGAAGTCGCCAGAGTATCGCCAGAAGTTCACCGGAGTGTTATGAACATCAATGGAAGTCGCCGAAATGTCCAAAACGTTCGCTAGATGTTAAGAACATCATTGAAGACTCACTGGTATGTCTAGAATATTGCCGAAAAAAAAAGAAAGAATAAATGGAGAAATTAAAGCGAAAAAACATAGCAAAATGTGCTAAATATTGATAAACTAGAAGGAAAAAAAAAATATAACGATAAAAAACAGCAACAATGGGAAAAAACATATATTACGTTTCAATTTTTGTAGGGCTTAAGCAAATAATCTCCAATATTGATCAAACTGAAAAGCAAGCTTTGAAACTGTAACATTTTACAGTTTCAAAGACAAAATCTATTAAGCATTTATCCTTATTAATCAAACTGAAAAACATGTTATGAAATTGCAAAATTTTACAGTTCTAAAGAATGTTATGAAACTGTAAAATTTTGCAGTTTTAAACCATGATTCATTCCAACACCAAAAAAAAATTGAAACTGCAAAATTTTACAGTTTTTATTGCCTG